ACTAGTTATAACTACAGACTACGAACGATCCTTAGAGGCGTCGCACGTTATTACTCACTTAAATCCAAACAACCTGATTACATTTGATTAACAACCTGTATCTGTTTACTTTGATTACTCATAAGCCTAACAAACGAGGAGAAGAGGAGTACGAAGTCCTGCTACTTCCGTGAGTTATTTTAGGCTATCGGGGATGCGAAAGACACGTTGGCCCATCTCGCATTTGATTACTTTGACCTTATGACAATACTAATGGATCACTAGGGCCCAATAGCACTTAAGAAGCCATTTAAGGTCCCTTTACATGGAATTGGGTCATAGAAGGCCCAATAACATATAATCATTATCCATTGGGCCCAAAGATCATGTTAATGGACTTGCAAGGTCCAACAAGCATGATTTGAAACTTTCAAGCCCAAGTGTCGAATGTTTACTTGTCTTAGGTATCACATATCTACTAGAGAGTTCGATTTAACGATTGTTATTTTGTATCGACTCGAGACCGATCGATTTGTTTATAACGATATTTTGGAGTTATACGTGTATTTGTCTTTCGATGTTTTTGTTGTAAGCCGTAGATTAGTATTTTTGACTCAATATTCTATAAATAAAATAATTGGTGTAAAAATAGTTGTTTTACCTTTTTAGCCCCTTTCCTTTTATAAAATAACAATTTTAGTCCTTTATATAAAAGAAAAGTCATTTTAAGCCCTTAAAACATTTTCTTGACACTTTTGCATCATAGATTTGTTGAAATGATATTTTTAACTCAAAAATTATTTTTTTTTAACAGTTTCAGTCGTTCCAGAATCGTAATTTCGAGTTAAAGCCCTACTTTTTGCAATTTTTACACTTTTAGCCCAAAATCCAAAAACTTTACATTTTTTATCCCTTTTGGAAATGAAAACCATCTTTAACCCTTGAAATAGTTTTGTCACACTTTTTATCCCTTGTTTTGAGGATTTTACCACTTCAGCCCCTTTAAATGTCATATTTTCGCAGTTTTGGGTTTATTGGGTCAAAAAGCCCAAAATTGAGCCCATCAAGCTAATATTTACATTTTAAGTCCTTTGAAGATCAAAATATTCATAAAACAACTATTTTAACTGTTTTGACTCTTTTGACCTTTAAGAAACCGTGATTGGTAATTTTTAACCCAGCTTTTGTATATTTGACAATTTAAGCCCAAAAATGGGTTTTATGTTGAAATATGTTTATCATAATCTTATAAGTTAACATTCTTGACTTGTTTAGTGTAATATAACTTAGATCATGTTTGTTTTCCTTCTTATGACATAGATCTCGAGATTTCTTCCCTTTTTGTTTATATTTTCAACACAAAAACACATAAAATCACACATACATGCATAAAATCATACATACCATACACATACACATAGATCTACACATTTTACTTGTATTCTCCCCCATAAAACTTATGAAAACAGAAAAGAGAGGGGTATGAAGCTCACCTTGAGTTGTGGGTTCGGTTTTTGAAGAGAGAAATGAAGAAGATTCGATCCTAGCAAGTCTTCTTGGAGAATCTCGAACTTAGATGTTTCTAAGAGGGTGATCATGAGTTTGAATAGATTAGGAAGAGATTTTTGATAAAACAAAGAATCTAGATCATAGATCCAACCATGAACTTACCTTAGATGATGAATTTGTGGAATAATCTCCTTGAAGAGCTTCCTAAATCTTGAAAATTTGATGAAGAAGAGTGAGGATATTCTTGAGAGAGTTTGTTTCAAAAATTGGATGAAGTGTGTGTGTGGGTGTGTGTCTTCGGCCGAGAGAAAAAGAGAGAGGAGAAGAGAGAGTGTTGATGAGATGGTTGCTTAGAAACATGAGTTGCATGCATAGAGACCCAAAAAATAATGGTGAGGTGGCACCAAAAGTCAACTCCTCCCCTTTATTTTGTAGTTGGGCCGAGAGAGAGTAGGAAGAATAGAATGTTTGGGCCTTTTGTGTTTAAATCTATATTGTGGAGCCCAAGTTAATGATTTTCGGCCCATTGGCCCTTTTAGGGTAATTCACGGCCCAAAATTCATCAAAGTATGAGCTTTATGGCCCATTAGGGCTATTTAGTTTTGTTATGGCCCAATAAGGTCCATTGGTGTATTTTATTTCATTCTAGGCCCAATATGGTCCAAAATGTTAGAATAAATGAAAGTGGGTCCAAATTAGAGCCCATATAAGAGTTCTAAGCCCAAAGTACTCAAATTGGAAGCTTATTGGTCCATTAGGCCCAATAAGGAAATCCTAGTCCAAAATGGACTTAAACCGGGATTTCTAGGGTTTCCAATCCTTTGTTGACTATTTGATGTGCTTGTATAAAGTGTTTGATGGAAGTTTTGTTGTTATTGAATAAGCATCATACATGCTTTCACATTGTTGGTTCAGATTTTTTATCATTGTTCAATGTTCACAAGGCATCAAAATTCCTAGTTGTGACATTATCTAAGCCACAAGGACCATTCATGTAATTACTCAAGATATTTAAAGCAAAATCGATGTATAAGCAATTTAAAACCCGCCAAGTAAACCAATTTCTATAATTTTTAATTTTTTTCATAATTTTCTACACAAATATATATGTATATACATACATAAATCAAGAATTTGATTTTCATAAGCTCAAACATTACAAATACACATGAAAACAAGTTGTAAATACATTAAAATAACACATAATCATAAGTTTACATCAATCTACATACATCTAAATGAAAATAAAATATAATGCCGAAACAAAATAAAATCATAGATGAATACAAACACATCAAAAACTTCATAACATTTATCATGTCATTTTATTGAGAAATCTAAATAGATGTGAAAAAAAACCAAAATAGTTTATTATGCAAAGACAAAACTGCACAAATGGTCCTTGTGGTTAGCTGAAAATTGCCACTTTGGTCCAAAAATGTTTGGACTAGCACCATAGGTCCAAACTTGTCATTTTGTTGCAAGTTTGGTCCACTTTTCTATAAACTTTTTCATAATGACTATTTTTCCCTTATTTTTTTTTCTTTTTCAGTTATTTTATTATTTAAATACTTTTTTTGATTAAAAGAAAAAAAGAAAAAAGAAAATTTGCATTTTCTATTTCATTTTTATAATTTTTTATAACAAAATAAAAAAATAAAAATGAAAAATCTCTTTTCTCTCTCTCTCTCTCTCTCTCTCTAAGAGAACGTCACCACCCTTACTCCTTCACCCAAGCTTTACTCTTGCCGGAAATCATGAACACCACCGGCAGAAAAGATGAACACCATCGACAGAACAAGGTGAACGTCACCAGATCGAAGCTCTGGCAGCGAAACCCTAACCCTAAAAGTTCCAGGTTGTGACACATAGATCGAAGCTAGGGATTGAAGCGACGACAACCTCTGAAACCCTAGGGTTTTAGGAAATGAGAATGGTGGCAGCCTCTGAAGCTGAAGCTCACCTGAGGGTCGTTTGATGGAGCCAAGAGGGTCGAGAGACGGTGTGGACGGTGCTAGGGCTTGTGTTCTGTTCATCTTGAAACCGTCATCGTCTTCTTTCTTCTTCTGATTCAATCGGTCAGCAACACACAAATGAGGAATAGGGACTTCAGTCCTCTGCCTTTATCTGATCGAGAAGAGGGACCCAATTGGAAGCAAAAACAGATTGAGGGGGATGTCTGTGGGTTGTGATCGTCTGCAGAAAGGAGATGAGGAGGAGGGTTGGGAGTGGGTTTTTCCGGTCCTTGTCTGATCGGGGAAGAAAGAACTTGAACGAAAACAGAAAAGAAACACAAGGGAAACAAAGAAACTTGGTCCTATGGTGGTTCATCTGTGGTGGTTACACAGTCACGAGGAGGGGTGCCGACAAAAGTCTATCCCCGAGGCCTTCATTCCCTTTCTGTTGTGATCGGTAGCAAAATGTAAAAGAGGATGGAGGTCTTCAATCCTCTGTTGATCCGAGAAGAAGGAAGAATTAACGGAGGCAGCAGTTGGTGGCGAGGGAGGTGTTGGTAGTGGCGATGGCAGCCCCTTGGCTCTCCGGTGGAGTTGTTCTTGATGGCACCGGAAATGCATCCACCTCCGGTGGTTTTTTTACCATAAAAATGAAGAAGAAAATGAAGAAATAAGAGAGAGAGAGAGAGAGAGAGAGAGAGAGAGAGAAATTTAATTTAATTTTTTAATTTTTTATTTTTTTAAAATCTGAAATTAGGAAAACAATTAAAAAAAAAAGAGAAAATCATATTAACAAGGGCAAATCCGTCATTTTGAAAAAAATCAGAATGGATTGTACCAAACAGGCAACAAAATGAAAACTTTGGACCTCTATGCTAGTCCAAACTTTTTTTTTTTTTACCAAAGTGGTAGTTTTGAGCAAACCATAGGAACCATTTGTGCAGTTGTGTTTTTATTCGGTTTAACCGATTCAACCGGTTTAACCGGATTTTTGTAAAACAGACCGGTTCATTCCGTTTCAGAAATATACATAAAACCGATGATAATTAAATTGTTTATTTCTTCGGTTCCTGATCCAACCGGTTCAAACCAGTTTTCAAAACATTATGCATAATTATAAGTATAAAATAATGTTTAAAATTATGTTGCAAGTAAAGATAAAAAAAAGGAAACAAAAGAATAACAAAAAAGAAAGGTGGGTTCTTATTAATTTTGGGTTGGCTAAGGGGCTAAGGGCTACGCGCTAGGGCTTCATTTTCCTCTTGGTGTTCTTGACTTTGGGTTGCAGACGATCTAGTGGTGATGGCGAATCTAAAAAAAGCTGTTTCTTTTATCGTCTCTTATCCTGGAAACAAATTCAAAGGTACCTTCAATACTCATCCATACCTTCTTTCTGTAAGAAAGACATCATCATTTTTAGAAGTAGGCATCCCGAAAACGATTTTAGCTCCATTTTATTCAACTTTGTGTTCCAATCGCCAGAAGCTGTTCAACGATCGTCGATCTATATATGAGAACTGTGATGTTGCTCAGAGTGATGGCGAACCTAGTGAAGCCATGTACACCGCTAAACTTATTACAAGGCTTTGCAACTCTTGCCTAACTGACACTGCCGTTACTGTGCTTGAAGAAGTGGTAGGAATGGGTTGGAAGCCTAGTGTGGATACATATACCATGGTGATTGATAATCTTTTCGATAGGGGAAGGGTAGATTATGCATTAAAGCTGTTCAAATATATGGCCTTACACCACGGCATTCTACCTGATGTTGACAGTTACAGCTTTTTCCTTCGTGCCATTCGTATGTTATCTCGCCGGGATGACATTTCTAAATTGCTCAAGGATATGGAGGACGAAGGGAACTACGTAGGTCCCGAAACCTTTAATGTATTTGTGGATGCATATTGCAAGGAAGGTCGCATGGAAGATGCAGAGAGTCTTGTCAAGTTAATGAATCAGAGGAGGATATGTCCTGCTGCAGTGATATACAAATCGCTAATTGATGGGTATTGTTTGAAAGGTAATATGAGCAAATCAAGGGAAGTTTTTGATTTGATGAGTCATAGAGGCGTGTTCCGTGATGTTGCTGTTTACAATAGTTTATTAAAAGGGTATTGTGAGGATTCGAAGGTAGAAGAGGCCATTCCTCTGTTTCACGAAATGATGCAAAGCAGTGTGAAACACAATACAGAGGAATTTAATGAGGTGCCAAAACCAGATGAATACACTTACTTTATAATGTTGTGGGGTCTATGCAACAACAATCAAGTAGAGGAAGCAGTCTCTTTGTTTCAATCCAATAAGAAGTTCAATTTGAATATTTCTGTATACAATATGCTCATCCATGGTGCAAATAAAAATGGGAAGCTTGATATTGCAAGGAGTCTTTACAATGAGATGACTGTGATTAAAGGTTTGCAACCGAATGATATGACTTATGTTGCCATGATTAATGGTTTTTGTGAGCAAGGTCTTGCAGCGGAAGCAAAGGAATGGTTTCTTGAGATGAAAGAGAAAGGCTTGTGGCCAAATGAGGCGACTTGCACGATTCTTCTCATAGGATTTAGAAAGACCAAACAACTTGATTTGGTAGAGATGCTTTTACTGGAAATGGAAGCTAGAGGTTATGAATCTGCTAAACCGATGTTTTCTGGTCCTGGTCCTTTTTCAAGCTTAAGTGCAAAGGAAGGAATGGTTTCTCTTTAGTGCAGAGGACATGCGGGTTTATGGAGGATCTTCTATGGCGGTTGCATGAAGCTTAATTTATCAACTCTAGAATAATTTAGGTTATTAATATGGTTCTAGGTCACTGTAATTCAAGAATAATTTCCGAAGAACAAGATATGTCTTTTTTTAGCTTCTTTTGTTAAACCATAACTATGTCATTTTTTTAATCCGTATGTCTTCAAACTCTTCAGCTCCTCAAAACATTTACCAAAATAACAATACCAGTTTGGATATATCATATAGTGGAATTTGCATTAAGGTTTCTACCTAGCCCAACTATTTTGGATCAAAGCGGGGTTAAGTGCAAATTTGAATCTAGGTATTGACTTTTCAGCCATTTATCTGCTTCGTGTTGTGACAATGCATTTGATTCACTGATTATGTCCTCGTTCTCCCTTTGAGCATCCATGACAAAAGAGAGAGAGAGTAATCCAACAATTTCCACTTTCTTATTTTTACGACAAACAACATAATATGTCCCATTTTATACCGTCAAATTACAACAGACAAATACTGAACATAAGTTTTTTAAGCATGAATATAACAAAACGGATTTATTAATAATAATAATAAAAAAAAAAACAGCTTTTTTCAAACTAAAAGTTACAAACTTCTTCTCCAGCCATTTCTTGAACCAAACATATTTTAAGCAATATATATGTACTTATAGTTGCAACATATATTTACATTCCTTATTTGTTACATATTAGGAAATGCTATTATGAGCTGCATATTGCTGTTATCAGTAAAAAAAGAAGTAAGTTGCAAGTATGGGTAAGGAAATGAAAGCAGGTTGCTATTACGGGTAGAAAGCAAAATATGTTGCCTATATTGGTAAAAAGGTATTATGGGTTTAAAAAAAAAATACTTGCAATTCAAATCTCTTTTAATATTAGGAAGGAACTTTGTTTTTCAAATAAAAAAAAAAAAAAAAGTTATCTTACCTCTCTTCTCCAGGTTCTAAGCAGGGCCAGGGACTACCTCAGTCTCATGGGGTGGTGGGGCCCCACTGTCTTCTGCAGTTTTCACATCTTCCTCAAATCCAAGTTTAAATATATATCATCATTCGTCATTTCGCTTGGTTTCATCTTGATGAAGGACTTCTTTTTGAAGCAAAAGCTCAGAAATCTGAGAAAGCTTCTTTTATGTTCTTCCACAAGTGAGACTGTGCTTGTTCCCCCATTCCCTGACATGTGTAGCAATGATTGCCCCTGTTTTGCTGCTTATTTCCATTCCATTCTCCCTTTTCAGGGAATGACAGCATACCAACTTTCTCACTGCAACTTGAGCATATGTCATCTTTGTCACCTTCTCCAAGTCGTTTTGTGCTCCAACAGAAATCAAGAAAGTTGAAAATTTGCAACAAAATGTTGAAAACTTAAAAATGTTACCTGTTCAGCAGCCCGGCCACCAAGTGTCATGCAAGTCATGTCAAAAAGCTGTTCTTTAGTCATGAGAAGATTCTTACTTGGAACATACTGTGCTGCTGTCCCACATGGAACAATTGTCACTTTTAACAGCATGCCCTGTTTCAGGGTAAGCAACAGTCCTGCATTCAATTTAAGCAAATCCCATTATTAGGAGGAACGAAGGAGAAAGGGTAAATAAATATGGTTTCATGTTTACATACCTTGTGCTTCTTCTCTAGCCCACCCCTACCAATCATCCTATCTATGGCTGCCTCAAAATGGTCCAGGGTCACTTTGTACATTGCTATTATGGTTACATGATGCCATCTATTAACTTCTGGCCTTAAAAATTATGTAAGATAAAAATCAAACATGAAATATCTCTAGATGCTTTTACCTCACAAGGTCGCCGAGGAAAACAAGATTTGCTTTGGTGTGGCTTTCTTAGTATCAGAAGATAGTCTGGAACAATGTTCTACTGTTCTCAGTAAGTATGTATAAGGTGTCCATCATACTTATCTACAAGTAACAAATGCAACGAAAATAAAAAAAATAAAAAAAATAAAAACAGAAAGGGGAAAAGGGAAAAGGGAAAAGGGAAAATAATACTATGAAGTTTCAATAAAAACGTCAGACAGTGCAAATGGATGTACATAATACTTGACCAAAATATTAAAAAATAATAATAATAATAATAATAACAAGTAATAAAAAAAAAGCTTTCAACAACGGTGAAAACACATTCTTAAAGCAAAAGGCATTAATTAAATTAAACATTGACAGACGTAGCCTTGTTGAAGGCGGATTGAAAAATAAATGTGGCTTATAATTACAGTAAAGTTTATCTTTAGTGGGCGGATCCAGAAATTTTTTATGTTGGAGGCACTAAATCAAAAATACGAAATTGGTAAATATAATATTGTCCGGTCAAAGTGGTGTACTATTCCATAGGGGTGTTAGATCCAAAACCAAAATGACCCCGTGAAATTATTCTTGGTTGTGAGACACTTTCAATATAAGTCCTCAAAATCCAAATAAATGTAAAAAAAAAATGAAAAATTAGAAGGGATGGATCGGTTCAATCCGATCCAATTAACTAATCCAAATTGATTTAGGTTTTCAAAATATGGATCCGAATTGTCCAAACTAAATTCAAATACGATCCGATCCAATCCAATCCAATTCGGTTGGATCGGTTTTATAATTCGGTTTTCCAAAAGGTTTAACATTTTAAAACGATATATAATTATAATATTATCAAATTTTTATTGAAGAAGCAAAAACAAATTATTTAATTGTAATTTATAATTTATAAACAACTACTAAGAATGTATATTATAATTTAATATTTAATAGATAAAACATTTTTGAGAGAAAATGCATATTAATTTTTTTTATTAGGTGAAACTTTTTGAACTTTTTTGAAAAAAATAATTTATAAAATTAATAAATAATTATAGATGTATTAAAAATAAATAAATAATAAATTGTTATTTGTTTTTTTAACTATTTGGTTCTTATTTTATAAACCAAAACCAATCCGAAATCGAAAATAATAATTCGGTTTTGGTGAAATCCAATCCAAAAATCTGAATATCTGAACCAAATAGTCTGATCCAAATTGTCCAAGTTTTATCCAAATAGTGAACAATCCTGCTATTCCACTCCAATAAAAAAGACAAAATCCACGTGTATTTACAAGCAACAAAAAATTCAATTCATTCGTATGTGATCCACAAAGAATCTACTTTTGTATTTCAATTTAACATCACATAAGCTATATTCAAAGTTTAAATAATTAGAAAGTTTTATAAATTTAAGAAAATCACATAAAAAAGTGAATCATAATTAGTTATTTTCAATCACATATTACATTATAACATATCAAAGTTCAAAGTTTAAATAATTAGAAAGTTTTATAAATTTAAGAAAATCACATAAAAAAGTGAATCATAATTAGTTATTTTCAATCACATATTACATTATAACATATCAAAGTTCAAATAAGTGACTACATAATTTCACTGTCACATGTTTATACAAAGAAATAAAGCATTACAAAATGTTAAGTAATAAAAATTAAGGTTTTTAAAATGACCAAAAAAGATTAAAACCTAACAGCAATTGACAAAATATCTATTTATTTACAGTCATTAAATAAAATATTTTGATGGATCACAAAAATGTCAGGTAATATATATATATATATATATATATATATATATATATATATATATATATATATATATATATATATATATATATATATATATATATATATATATACTAGTCGTTTACCCTTGCCAAGCGACAGTTGCGATTAATTTCTTCTAGAAATTAGTTTCTAGAGACGATTAGTTTTTTTGCACAAATAGTTTACTACATCTAAACAATCATCAGTAAGAGTCATGATAGCAGAAACAAAATCAATACGAATTAATGTAAAAAGTTAGGATTTTTTATAATTATACATGAATACATGATTGATTATGTATTATTAATCATATTACATTTATTTATACACCACATTTGATGTTTAAACTTCATTGTCATTGTATTGTTCGTCAGACTTCACTAATACTTTTGTTTTGGCAAGTATCATTAAGTATTAATTCGAATTCATCGATTCGTTTTTTTTTCCGACGAAGAATGTATCAATTAATATATTTGTTGTTTTTTATATGTTGGATTGATTGCATCGAAAATAGATCATTTCTAATTGATGATAACATATTTGAAAAAAAAACATTTTATTCATTGATGTAAATTTAGATAAAAAAAACATAGTCATTTGACGAATAGTTTTCTTGAAGGTATGCATATATTTAATGTATGTACCATTTACATGTAATTTAGTCTGATCACTTCTTGATAACTTCTTTAGAGGTATATGGTTTACGCTCCTAGTTTAAGGTTTAGCTTAAGGTTTAGCATTTAGGGTTGAGAGAATAAGGGTGGAGAGTGGTAAATAACTAAATATATACATTTATGGCATTGATTAAAAATTACAACATAAGCCTTCAACAAAATCCAAAAGTGATTTTTTTGCAATAAGTAGTTTCCTTAATTGATTAGATGTCTTGGGTACCGTCATATATTTTAGATCAATCGACACACTTATGTAGGGATGAGCATTTGAACCGAGGAACTGGCCGGAACCGGATAAACCGATCGGGCCGGGACCGGGACGATATTCTTGTGGATTTTTGGAACTGGGAACCGGCAGAACCAGCAAAAACCGGAACCGTATATTGCTATTTTCTGGGACCGGTTCCAACATTGAAGACATGACAAGAACCGGAACCGGTAGAACCGACAGTCCGGCTCGTTTCCTATTTTCCACCAAGTTCGGTTCCTGGACCGGTTCCGATGCTTATCCATACACCTATGTTCATCGATTAATTAAACCATACACGGTACGTAATTTTTTTTACCAAAAACATATTTAAGTACGGATATTTTTTTAGTAGATTCATTTTTGAATTGAATGTAAATAATCAAATTTAGATCATTTTTCTTAATAAAAAGTTCCATTTTTTATAATAAAATTTAGTTGTGTATTATATAACT